CCGCCACCGCCACTACCATTGATAACAACAAGACATGCAACTGCCGACAAAAGAACACATGCCCGCTCGACGGAAACTGCCTGCAACCATCAGTAATCTACCAAGCCTCCGTTACACGCAAAGACAACAACACGACAGAAACGTACATCGGACTCACAGAGAATGACTTCAAAACAAGATACAGAAACCACACCGCATCATTCCGCCACGCTAAACACAGAAACTCTACCGAACTCAGCAAGCACATCTGGACCCTCAAAGACAACAACATCGATCACTTTATTTCCTGGCGCATTCTCTCATCGCACTCACCGTATAACAGCTCAACTAAAAGATGTAACCTCTGCCTCAAAGAAAAATTCCTAATCATCTGCCGGCCCGAACTATCAACACTAAACAAACGTAATGAACTCGTGTCTTCATGCCGCCACAGAAGCAAAGCCCTCCTACGCAACAACTAAACTGTCAATTTCGCGCTGCATAAATTAGACTAGTTAGATCATGCAAATTATATTGTATATAAGCAATGGTAAAGTTTATTCTCATTAAATCCCCTGATGAGTGGGCGACCACGAAACAGGCTTGTAGGGATGAACTTGTAGTTTACTTGTCTTTTTCCTACCACAATATATATATATATATATATATGCATATATCAATTGAAGTGATGTTTACTGTTAATTCCAGAAAAGTGCCCTACAGTCAAGGAGCGATAATGCTAGTAGGAAGACTACTCAATATGAGTACAAATGGATTTTAATACAGTTCTGTTTCGTACACCAACAAACGTTGGTCCACCCATCAGTTAATCTCCATACACACTGAAGTATCGTTAAGGTTTACATCACTTATCAGTGTGATCGCGCGACTGTTAACACGAGAGTGGTGCATTTAAAAATTCAAAAAATGCAAAAGTATACAAAAAATAAATGCACGCGCTTATGATTGGTCGTTTGATTTACAATTCAACTATATCTAAGAGCGTACTTTCTTTTGGTGCTTGCAAGAGGCTAAATATCGATGACAGGGTCGATGTAACTGCTTAGAAAAAAGTGTTTATTACACTCAAAGACCATAAAGACAATTTTGCAAACAATCCCACGTGCCGATTAATTAACCCATCCAAACAAGAGATTGGCAAGATAAGCAAACAAATCCTTCACGATATTAACCAGAAGCTAGTGTCGGCCACAAATGTAAACCAGTGGAAGAACACGTCTTTTGTGTTACAATGGTACAAGAACTTACTGAATAAACGTGACTCCGCTTTTATAACCTTCGATGTTGTGGAATTGTCCTTCCATAACAGAAGATCTGCTCTGACGTGCCTTTGAATTCGCATCCAATTATGTAACCATTTCTGCCGAAGACCGCCATATCATCACACACATGAAGCAATTGCTGCTTTTCAATGACAACACCCCATGGCAGAAGAGAAATTCCAACACACTCTTCGACATTACTATGGGAAGCTACAACGTAGCAGAGACATGCGAGCTGGTTGGTTGCTACCTCCTGTCACAACTCTTGCAAATACATAAAATTGACATCGGCCTCTACCGTGACAACGGCCTGACAGTACTAAATAAGACCCCCCAGAAGATTGAGAACGTGAATAAAGAAATTTGCAGAATATTCGCCAATAATAACCTGCGAATCACCATGAAAGCAAACAAAAAAATTGTCAATTTCCTTGATGTAACGCTCAACCTGAACACCGGGAGATTCAAGCCATATACAAAACCAGCAACCACCCCTTTCTATGTGCACAGCAAGTCAAACCACCCACCTAACATAGTAAGAAACATCCCTGAAGCAATCAAGAAAAGGCTGTCTGAAATTTCTTCGGATGAAGATGCATTTAACGAAGCTGCACCCCTATACCAGGAAGCACTGCGCAAGAGTGGGTACGTATGCAACCTCAAGTTCAATCCAACACCGCAAAGACCACCAAACCAAGACAAAAGACGGAGAAATATAATATGGTTTAATCCACCATTCAACAGAAACATCCAAACAAATATAAGAAGAGCATCCATCAACCTCATTGACAAATGTTTTCCAACTGGCCACATATTGAGAAAAGTCTTTGATAGGAACACCGTCAAATTGAGCTACAGTTGTACACCTAGCATGAAGCAAGTCATAGATGGGGCACAACAAAGCCATCCTAAGGAAAGCCAAACATCCTGAGCAAGATAAAACCATCAAGATGTGCAACATTACTGTAGAAATAAGAATATCTGCCCACTGGAATCAGAGCTGAGCAATGAGTTTCCAGCAATTTGATTGGTCGAGCAGTTCCTTATATGACGCTATATAAACCACTCCATGCGGTTTATATAAAATGTTAAAATAAAATGTTAATAAATGTTACTAAAATGTTATGATTTTAGAAGTTTCTCTGTTGTTTAGCTCTGAAATTATACTAAAACAATTATTCACCTCAGGTTTGGTGAATATTGTCAAATAATCCCCTTGACTTCGTCTCGGGGATTATTCGACGACATTCATCTTGCCTTTGGAAAATAATTTTAAATATATATATATATATATATAATTTTCTTCTTTCACATTTGTATTTTGCTCTGCACTTTTCTACATCGAGCACTCCAAGGATAAGTGAAACAACTTTATTTCTCGTTTATTCGTTTATACATATATTTAGAATAATTTCAGAGCCGAGCAAAGATCTTCTAGCAATCTGATTAGTCAAGCGGTTCCTTATATGACGCTATAAAGGAAAATGTTAATAAATGTTACTAAAATGTTATGATTTTAGACATTTCTCTGTTGTTCAGCTCTGAAATTATACTAAAACAATTATTTGCCTCAGGTTCGGTGAATACAATAATAATAATAATAATAATAACCGTTTATTCACAGTATATCCACATAAAAAGGTGTGGCTCTTCATCTGTGAAGGCCTACGATAATAAAATTTAATATTAAACCTAATTTATAATGACTAACTAAATTGTAATAAAAACTATACATGAAAGTAAATATGCAGAATATATTGGTTGGTGGTGATGGTTGTTTCTATATTTTTACAAGGAAGACAAAGCGTGCGCCTTCAAGAACGCCTTGCAGAGCCTGCAGTGAAAATTGTCGAATAATCAATTATTCGACGATATTCACTGAGCCTGAGGCGAATAATTCTTAAATATATCATTTAAAATATATGTATTGCATTTTAGCGAGAAACTCATTAATCTGATTTAGGAGTCTCAGAACCTTTGGAATTAGCTGAATTATTGTCTTCGAGAGTGTCAGTTCTCTGACTCTCAAAATGCCAGTTCTTTCTTGGATATATTGGGGATAATGGGATTGTAAAAAAATATTGCTTCTTTCAATCAACACGCCGCAAGTCTCCCGTGAGTTCGAAACCTTTCAACTGAAACTCAGTTTTATCCATGTGCAAATAAACCTTATTTTTATCAGGAAGGATATGCACCTCTCTCAGAGAAAAATCTAAGGTTATAGAGGATTAAAACGATATCCCATTACTAGTTATTATTCACCATTTTAAAACCTTCAAAATCTCCTATTGAAGTTTAGTGATTGGTTCAAAGTTCGTATCATGGTTAATTTCGCAATCACCAAGCGAAACAACTCTTAAACGCCCTGCATGGTATACTTTACACAGCTACGAAATGAAATAAGAGTGAGATTCGAGTAGAGATACCACTTCTTACTGCAGTACACTGAATCTTTATCGCTAATTACAGTCATTATGGTACTTTGTTCTTTGAATCAACAACGAGGTGTGCACAGGGGGTGCACAGATCAAAGTCTGCTTTCGATTTCAAACTCAAAGGCAATCCGAGGAAGTAAAGCCACGGTAGCTAAAATTAATGTCGATCAACCGGATATTCTTTGAAAAAGTGCAAACAAGTTAAGTTCAAACACGTTTTTGCGACTGCAAGATGGGGTTTCAGTTGAAATATCAGTATAAAGACTTTCACTGTTCCGCGTCGGTTGCGAAACCTCATCTCCGCGGAGCTCTTAATATCCAGCATTGATTCAAACACCATGAAAAATGAATATGTATCGATAGGGATAATCTTACCTGAATAGAGGACACAAGCACCAAATAGACGGTAAAGGAAAGCCATGATGGCCGAGATCGATGGGCACCGTACCAGCTGGTAAGCCACGGTGAATGTTTCAAGTCTTGAAAGCCGAATAGAGTCCTAAAGTGTGACGTCACGTTGCCATGACAGCATTTTTTTCTGGTCTAAACAGTTTAAACTCATACTTCAAACATGGCGTCTTTATCGATATGCTCACTCGTTTCTTTCTTTTCTGGAGAGCGGAAATCGCTTGATCGCGGAGAAAACCACTTCAAATCCGACCATGTCCAAAGCTTTATTTATTCCAGGGGAGTCATCAAAGGTGAAGTCCAAGCAAGCATGAAAAATAAGGACTACAAAGTCACAGTAAGTTGCCAATTTGGGATCACAACACGTATGTTCAATTCGAAGAACTCCCAACCCCGATTTCACCTCCAATTTAATGTTTATATTGCGGAATATATATTGCAACTTACGTGTCTGTTTCGAATTATCTTTTTATCAGATTTATCTCGATGAAAACCTTGAAATAAAAAACACAGAATGCGAGTGTCCTCGCGGCGAGTTCAAGTGCAGTCACGCGGCAGCCATATTTATTTATGGCATCCATAACCTTAGCAGGACGGACCTGGAATGCCAATGGAAACGAAAGCGAAAGGCAGAAAGCGTACAGTCTGCAAGCCAGATGTTTCCAGCGCCACCGAAGAAGAAGGATTACAGCCCTTTGGCGCGCGATCCTAGCCGAGAAGATCGGATGTGGCTGTACAGCGAACTAAAGCGCTATGGCAAATTTACAGGGACCTGCTGGATCTTGAGTCCCGAACCACAACCTGCTACCCCTCTCCCGATCAAGACGATTGAGGATATCATTTACTCAGAAGGTTTCCTTATGGCATCTACGAAGGAAAAACAATTAGAGTACTTGATTGAGAATGCCAAAGTAGAGGAGAGAACCATAAATGTTGTGAGCACCCTCACGGCTGGCCAGCGAAACAGCCCTGCATGGCACCAAGCTCGTAGAGGCCGCCTGACTGCCAGTAATTTTGGCTCCGTCCTCCAGGCAAAAAGAGTTACACCGTCTCTTATCAAGCGACTACTTGGGGAATACAACTTGAGTGGAGTTAAAGCAATTGCATGGGGACAGGACAATGAGACTGAGGCCCTGAAATCCTTCACCAACATCACAAACTTTACACCTGTACAGACCGGCCTTTGGCTACACGAGTCGGGAGTTCTGGGTGCTTCCCCTGATGGACTTGTGGGAGACGACTCGGTGATTGAGTGTAAGTGCCCCTACACACATCGAAATGCGACAATCAAGGAAGCTTGTGGGCACAAAGACTTTTACTTGGAGGAGAAGGAAGGGAATTATACGCTGTCTACCACACATGTTTACTGGCATCAGTGTCAAGGCCAGATGTTCCTGACAAAGCGCAAATTCTGCTACTTTGTTGTATGGACCACAAAGGATAGTGTAGTTATCAAGATTGAACGAGATGAATCTTGGGAGCACAATATTACTATCTTGAGTGATTTTTACTTTCATCAACTATTCCCAAAGATTACCGAGGGAGAACTTTGAAAAGTGGTGCACAGATGCTGGACATAATCAGAGTGGGGGGGGGGGGCTATTATAGCTCTTGAAGTGTTCGAGGTCAACGACAATGTGTCACGCTAGGGACGCCATATTGGTTTGTTTAGACCACAGAATTCCGGTGCTATGGAAACGTGACGTAAGCACTTTAGGACTCTATTTAAAAGCAGTCCAAGAGTATGACGTTTACATCACGTGTCACGTCCCTTACCACGTTAGCGAGGTTTGTGTGCATCCTTAACCAAACCGGCAATTCAGCGGGTGGGGAAAACATCGGCTTCTTTTCTACCCATGTGGAGATAATTTAGTGGGTAAGAAGTTTCTTTTCGTGGATGTACAATTCCCTTCAAACAAAACTTACCACTAGCGCTTAATTTGGTCGGAACTACTGGGCAACCAGATTATAAATTTAAAAACCCATTCCTAAGTCTGATAATGTAAATTATTCAAAACTGTATCATTGGATAATGCAATTCAAGGCTTTTTATTGGCTTACCCATTAGGGTATATGAGCCAACATACCATAATCTACAAATATAGTAAGCGTACGCGTCGGGCTAAAATTAAAAGGGCGCTAAAAATATTTAAGATTTCCTAAGATTTGTCTAATATATTGGGGGTGTTTTTAATAAAACAATTATTCCACTCGTGCTTGTTGGATACGAGATGATTATAGCCAACTCGGCGCTATGCGCCTCGTTGGCTATCTATCATCTCATATCCAACGCACGCTCGTGGAATAATTGTTAATTAGCCACTGTTAACCCTTTTAATCCTAGGAGTGACTGGCATCTAACTTCTCCTTTTATCACCCCTAAATCACACATTAAAGCCACGAGAGTAAAGGAAATGATCACCAACCAAACAAGTTCCTGATGATTACACAAATTCTCCTTGTCCACACCCAAGGAAATGCATAGAGAACAGTATGGAGAACAAACATACCGATGCTAGGGTGTAAAAGATTAAGAGTTTCAAAGCTGATGTTTCATGCGTTGGCCTTTTGTCTTATGCTCTGAGAAAGAGCTAACTCTGAAAACATCAGCTTTAAAACTCTTCGAGGTAGCTATTTTGTATTATCCACCTGGTTGATGAAATCAAAAATGCCCTGTCATTCTTCACTGAGTCAAACATGTCTCAAGTTGTAATCACTGTTTTCAAGAGATTGCACATGAAATTTCTGCATAAAAAGACCTTGCATCTCTACATCCAAGTTTTGAAGTGCGACAAAAACACAGGGAAAGAAAACACAAAACAGGTAGGTGGACGGTCACTGTCATCACTTGGTAGCCTATTTAGAAGTCTTTTCCCTCTCCTTCAAGTCAAGCAAGAGTTGCAGAAGCATACAACTCAGAGGAGCTACCCATTGGGCAGTGTGCCTTTGTGAAACTATTGCTTGGTTCAAAGCAGTTGGAGTGGGTTATTCATCAGGGCAACCTATTCAACCTCTGAGGAAATGAAACGGGTAATTTTCAAAGATGCAGTGGTGAAAAAAAAATTATTCTGCTGAAATGCCAACTTCTTAGTAAACAGCTGTTGTGCATGTTTGTGATTTCAAATCCTTAAGAAAATGCAAATAGATATGTAATTATATACCTTTTTATTCAGAACATCTACTAAACCTAAATGTATCAAAAACAGGATGTGCACTAACTAACACAAAGTTTGCTCGCACAAGAAAAGAAAGTAAGGGAAATGGGGTCACATTGTTTACTAACTGACCACAATTTTTGGCTATTAGCCTGAAAGGAATATGCAAAAGGAACTTTTCCATTTCCTCTTCTTGATCCCCCTTTCTTTACTTCCCTTCTCCTCCCAATCACCCTTCCACTGCTGGATACACAGGCTAATAACACACATTCAAAACTATGTCTATGATTATCAAAAAGTGACTTAAAATTACTTCAGGGTATGCACTTTTCTGTCTAACAACAAAAATCAGATGCAGTGAATTTCTTATCACTAACTTAAATCTGAAGTACCAAATATGGGCTGCTGTTCTTTTCTATGTGATACTCCAATCTACACGAGTGGCCACATTTACTTCCCAGTTGTGTATGAATAGGACATAAAATTTTTAACTAAAAAGGACAGCACCACAACAAACTGGATTTAGCTTGTCATAATCATAAGATAACTTAACCAATGAACTAGTAATCTTTCATTTAATTCATTTTATATTGTGTACTACTTTGATTCCCAGCACTGACTGGTTATAGCTTTAACTCTAGTACCTGTTCATACAAGTGTCTGTTGCAAAAGGCAAAAAGGGGAAAAAGTTAACAAAAGTGTGATGTTGCCAAAATAGGAAAATTGTACTAAAAGGAAAGAATTGCCATTTTTTCAAAGATGATTTTGTACCAGAAAGCTTAGCAGCAAGAAAATTCGTAAATCAGGCCCACACAAAGGATAAGACATAGTGTCTAGAAAGAAGCACAAAAAAATGACCACACCAACACACAGCTTTGGACAGGTATCTTTTAACAGTGTGATCATTGTCTGTTGTAAAATTGTCCCTCTTAGACCTTCCACTAGACCTTCTCATATCCACGGTGACTCTTGCGGCGGCCAATTACATAAGCAATCAGTACAATGAGAACCAGACCAGCCAAGGCACAGCCCACTGCTATTGGAACAATGTCATTAGAACCTTTTGGTTTAGCAGTTGATGTGGGTGTGGGTTTGTCCTGGTAGCACTCTGTGCCTAAAGAAGAGAAAGTGGGTTTTACATTCCTTCAATCTATTTAATATCTCTCTCTCTCTCTCTCTCTCTCTCTCTGTAGGCATAAATTTTATTTCTGGTGACCATTTTCTTATTTCAGGCCAAATAGTAAATTTAAAAACTTTAAGCGAGGTTCAGTTTTTTGAGGGTAGACATGAAAAAGACTGTTGGTAGCAATGTTGACTGACAGTTGTCAACCTTGACTGAAGAGGTCAACAATACAGTAGAGACCACAGGAACAGCAGCACCTACATGCCTATAAAATGAATGTAAGATGGCAGATTTGCACACAAATGATGCACCCATAATTTTATACAATTTATCTTGCCTATATTGATGACTTCTGCTCTTGAAAATTGTTCAGACATCAGTCACTGTCACAAAATTAGTATTCAGGACTAGCAGCCAATCCTTAACCTGACAATCACACTTCTACTCTTGGATTCAAACCATCCACTAAATAACACCATATTTATACTTAATACTGTGAGTTACTGGGTATTAATGACTTCTACCCTAGTCAGTTTTTTGGAACATTTTCTCTTCTAGGTCAGGAAGACAGTTTCTTTACCAAACAAAATAGCAAAATGTCCCCAACCTGCATTGAAACCCTGCTCCATGGAAACCCCAACACAACACATTTTTTGTAATTTAACATTTGAACTTGAACTGGGCACAATACATCATTGATATTTTCATTTCTGAATTTATTGGTGGGTCATTGGATAGAAGGTTTAAAAAACTACAAAACAAACCTGATCCAAAGTCCTTACTGCTTTTCTTGACAAATGGTTCAACCTTCCAATCAGTGAAATCTGCTTCAACTGTGTAGTTTTTCTCATCTGTCTGAAGCTGGAACTGTTTCTCTGCTTTGCAGTAATAGTAGCTACCATTTCCACCATTAATAGAAGTATTAGCAGGAACTGTGTGTGAGGCATTAACCATCTTCACTGCAGTAACGGAAAATGAGCCATTAGAGTCATAACATTGTATAAAATGAAAATAACTTTCTCATCCCTGAAAGCAACCTTAAATATTCAATTACACACAGAGACTTCACAAACACCAGTGACCTGCTTAACTTCTACTGGTCACTTCGACCATAAAATGTAAGGTCACATTAAAGAAAATCTTACAACGAGGAAAACTATTAAATGTATTTCCCACATTTGCTCTTTCTAATCATACTTGCTGATCGGTGTTCAAACTTTTTAACTGCTTCTCTTATGAGATCATACAGTAATCATATAACAAGTAGGAGTATTTTAAATTTCCAAAAAGATATCTCTGTATTTGAGAGAATCTGAAGATACCTATATGCTTGGATAAAGAATCGATGATTTAGGGTTCTATTTCAACTAAAATCAGTACATAATACTATTTTTCACCTTTTATATTCTGATTCTTAGTATGTAGTTTTAGATTTCATGGCCTATCAAAATTAATTAACTCTGGCAGTCTTAATAGCAATCTTCAATCTGAGTTAAACGTTTGTTGAGTTTCAAAAATAATATTGATAATATTAACAATAACAACGTTAAAGATGACTAACAATTATTCACTGACGTGAAAGTAAATATCCACCACTCTCACTAGCAGCTAAGTGAATGATTTTTTTAGTATAAGACCACCCAGAAACCAAAATACGAGTTTGCTTCTGTGAATATACAGAAAAATGATTAGAAATTAGACTTTTGACATGTCAAGCAGCTAAAGAGGCAAGATTGCCTCTTTAGCTGCTTGGAGGTGAATAGTACTTGCCAATCACTTCATAACTAGCCAAATAGCATGCATCTAATACTAATTGGAATTATCACATTGCTAGTAGCACCCATGGGCAAAATTAAGTGAATTTTGTGTTTTGATTGGCTACCCGAGTGGGAAAGATGGGCCTATCTAGCCTACTGTGACACTGTGCAAGATAAACATTGGGCAGAACTGCATAGAGTGGTTTTACATGTGTGTCCTTTTTGGACTTTGATGGTGATAGAGATCCAGGAAGCCTCAAAAGACAATCAAAATAAAGGAAACATAGGACTCTTGTGGGTTTATTGTACTACAGACACATTTGGCTATCTTACCCAGCTCTCAAAACAAAGTCATTTTTGATTTCTGATAAAGCAAGGCCTTTAACTACAAAACAAATCCTTTCATGACCAAGCTTGTTCAGTTAAGATGGCTGGAAATTAGCCAGGTTCTTTTATGACATTTTTAAGGACTTTGGCTTTGTATAAGTTCATAAAAACATGAAAAAAGAGCAAAGCCAATATCCAGCCAGTTCACTTCATGCTTGGTCAATAATGCACATACATTTACCCAGGGGATCCACTTCAGTCACTTAACCTTTCACGGTGCATCTGTTTGGTTTTATCAACACTTGGCTATTACTGTCATCATAAATGCTGTTATTATCATTACTAATAGCATCATTATAATTATAACCATCAGTACTGCCATTATTATTTTAAGTATTATTTCCATTATTATTTTTATTGCAGTTTCCTTTATTATATAATCAATATAACTGTTACAACCTGTGGCATTTTTGAAGCGTGGGTTGTCTGTGAGGTTGGCCAGGAAAGACACACTACTCAACCGCCAAGTGAAAGAACTTTCATTACTTGCTTGCAATGCTTTTGATTTGGCAAATTCAATTGTCAAAATGTAATATGGTTCTGGTTTGATCCATGTTAGAACCAGCCTCCCACAGTCACCTGAAGCATTCACTTGCGCAGACCTGTTAAGGACAACGGTACCCTGCAAAAAATAAAACCCAACAAAATAGACAGTGGTTGAATAGGCTTCATAAAAACTGCTTGTGGTCATTTCCAATCTTTGAACACAAAACTTATGTACATGTACTGATAATAATGATAATGATATGTGGCTAAATGTAATTTAGGCAAAGTTAACCTCGAAGCAATGCTGGCAGCAGTTTCCCCAGCTATATTAGGGGTGGCCCGATAAACTTCAGGGGCACACGTGGCTTGTATACGCAGTTTCTTACTTGCTGTTCTTTGCAAGTGTTTTTTGGCAATAGCTTGCTTTTGGTGTGCCATTTTGTGCTCTGGTTTTTTGCTTGCCTGTTGTTTCTGATCTGCTTGCGATGACTGCTTAGTCAAACCAACAATAGTTTGGCCGCTAGCTTGGACGGGGAGATTTCGCCATCAGATTCCCTCCTACACGATTTGCCTTCACTCGTTTCTGGGAGCTCAGCGTCATGACCTTCCTCAATTTCAGCTCCGACTGTTGCTGCTGGTGTTCCTGATCCCGCTTTCATCGCGGTCATCGTCGATGCTGTTAAGGCCTCTTTAGTGGCAGAAAGAAGCCATGGCCTTTCCTCAAGCAACATCCGGGAAACTACAGCGAGCCCCGAGCAACATGTACAAACAGTTCCTGGGAGCATTCCCGCTTCATCGCCATGCTTATCGCAGCAAACGGCGACCTTTTTAGCATCTGGAGGCTCCTTCCCAGAGCATCACGCGATATCAGGACCTTCAGCAACTCAAGGTAGGCTTAGTTTTATTGTACCATCATTTCTTGCCACCTTTGCAACCCCTCGCTCACTGATCCTAAGCACTGCGATCATGGCAGGTGCTTCTGCTTGGGTACCATTTAGTGACAGCTCCTTCATTGCCAACCTGCCTTTGGGACCACTACTCCAGCAGCCATTTGTAGTTGGCCACGGTTATTCTCCAATCCTGGCAAAAACGGTTAGCCAAATTGTGACTGGTAAATATGTGGATTTGGGGGATTTTCTTTCCGTCAATATCCTGCGGTCCAAGCTGGAGTCACAAGCTTTTCTAGACAGGCGCCTAGTGTTTCTGCCAAGCGCAAAAAGAAACGCCGACGCATCGAGGACATTGTGACATAGTCAGAAGCATTTACAATTTTCTCGCCGATTCTTACCCCACATTTTTCACACCACTGGAAAGATCTGATGTTGTACACGCTCCTCATTCTGCGTACGTATCGCCAGTTCAGCGGTCGCATGTGGCTGGCTTACAATAGGGCCTTTTGCCAGCACGTGACGGCTATGAAACTAGTTGACTGGTCCACGATCAATGTCCAGCTCTACAATTTTCATGCTGCTGGGGCCTCAGTATGTTCTGGGTCGGTGAGTGAGCTACCCGAACCATCCGGAGCTGATTCCTCCCAAATCATTTGCTCAATTTGCATTGTGCCGGTTTGCTCATCGCTGCAGCACTTGTTCGGGATCCCATCATGCGTTGGAATGCTCTCACCTTTCTGACAGAACATCTTCATATGGGCGCAAGTGCAGATCTGCTTCTTCACCATCAGTTCCCCCATCCACTGCAAAACCCAGGCATTAGGGGATCCTTCTTTGGTTGTTGCCTCTTCTGATTAGTATTGTTGTGTTTGTTATGGTTTATTGGTCTATTTTAGTCTCATTACTTCATTTTGTAACAGGCTCTAAGTTAGGTCACATACCAGCATTAAAGTTGTCAGTTGTTACGAAGCATGCAGTTTGTTGTTTGGTTGTCTCTTCTACACAGGGCTCTTGCCTTCCAGAGGGCAAACTGCTTGTGCTAAAGGATCTTATTTAGTCGTGGATGCCTTGTTGCTGGTGCAGAAAGTGTAAGTTGGAGTCCCTCGTTGGCCACCTACACCATGCGGCTAAGGTAGTCTGGCTGGGGAGAGCCTTTCTCCGTCGGCTTATCGACTTACTGTGCTGCTTCCGTAACAAGGACCATCCCATTTGGATCAACCAGGACTTTCGTCTTGATCTTCAGTGGTGGCAGAAGTTCCTGTCTTCGTGGCATGGTATCAGGTTCTGGCTGTTCCCTGGCATGCAAGCTGCCACTGACTTGAGGTTAGTTTGGATGCAGCGGGCGCATTTGGCTTTGGTGCCTATTTTCAGCGCCAGTGGTTTTATGGTGGTCATTGGTGCAGGCAAGGCAATTGATCGCATACCAAGAGCTCTTCCCAGTCGTGATTGCTGCTCACCTTTGGGGATCTTGGTGGGCCCGGAAGGATGTCCTGTTTCGTTCAGATAACGAGGCAGTCATCACAATTCTCACGTCCAGGACGTTGAAGGTCCCCTCTTTAATGCACCTTCTCCATGATCTTCTGCTCTTGATGGCGCGTTGGGGTTTTACTTTCACTGCTGCTCATGTTCCTGGAGTTGAGAAAAAAATTGCTGATGCTCTCTCGTTTTCGTTGGCAGGAGTTCAAGCAACTGGCACCAGAGGCTCATTCTTCCGCTTGTCCAATTCCTCAGCTCCTGCTGGACAGCTTACACCGCCTTCCTAGAAGAATGGTGCCTGCACTTTTTGGCCCAGGGCTTGGCCCCTTCCACTCGCAACACATATGCATCTGGTCAGCACCAGTTCATTGAATTCTGTCGCCAAGCGGGAAAGCTCCACCCCAATGGCTCGCCATGTCCTGCAGACGAGTGGATATTATGTCTGTTTGTATCGTTTCTTTCAGCTTCAATTCAGCATTCATCAATTAAGGTATATTAATCTGCAGTGCAGTCCTCGCACATCGAGCAAGGTTTTTCTGATCCTTTGCTTAATTGTCTATGGCTTAAACAAGTGTTGAGAGGGGTGAAGCGTGCTCAGGGTTCTTCCGCTGCTTGACGCCTTCCATTTACATCAGGCCTTGGACTTCACTTGTTTTTATCATTGCGCCTTTTGGGCAGCCTGTTTGCTGGGTTATTTTGGCTTTCTCTGGGCAGCAGAATTTACAGTCTCCAGTGTAGCAAGCTTTTCTTCAGCCACTCACCTGTCTGTGGCAGACATAGCAGTGGATTTGCGCCAGTTTCCCACTTGTCTCCATGTTTGGATAAAGACATCAAAAACCATCCATTCAGTCAGGGTTGCCACATCCATATTGGTCAGGGAAGGGCACCCCTGTGTGCCATGCTTGCGAGGTAATGCCCCTGCTTGCATAATGCCTCTCCTTGCGAGGTAATGTCCCTGGCCCCTTGTTTTTACTTGCGGATGGTTGACTTCTGTCACGCACACTCGACTGATTGGCTGGGGCAAATTCTCTCATCTGCGGGGATTGAGGGCCATTTTTCTAGTCACAGCTTCCGCATTGGGGCAGCCACGGTAGCAGCTCGCAATGGCCTTCCGGATCACCAGATTCAGGCTCTTGGATGCTGGACTAGCTTTGCCTACCAGCTTTATATCCGCACACAATTTGAAGCTCTTGCAAATATCTCCAGTCAGCTGGCTTGACACTGTGCATTATGGCTGGGACTGCAATTCTTGCTGTTCCTCCTCCTGTCAGCAGCATCCCCCTTTTGGGGTAAGTGTGTTGTTTAGTGGTTGCAACTGATGCAGCTTGGTGCTTGGGGTTATTGGAGTCAGAGGTTCCACTTCACCCCTGTTCGCTGGCCCCTCCCCTTTTCAAGCACCAGGGAGACTTCGATTGGGTGGGGCCACTCGCAAGGTTGCCATGGATACCTCCTCCACTTGCTGGCAGGGCCCGGCTCCACCAACTTTGTAGGCACCAATGCCCAAGCTTATCTATTGGTGATGAGTTTAAAATAATACTAATAATAATTGAACACAAGGTTAGTACAGTATCATGGGTTTTTGAGTGGCAATGTGTACCATCAAAAACAACTTTTCTTTGCCTTAAGCTTCAATAGGAGAAATGCAGGAATAGGTCAACAAGACTAACAATGTGCTGGTTAAGTTGTAAAAATTGCACAAAATTAAAATCAAGGGAAAGTAATTGGTCACTCTAAACATACCACAGCCTCTTTTTTTTTGTTTCCTTCAGGTCCAGACATGTAATGGATGGTGAATACTGCCTCAAACTGAGCCAGCAAGCAATATTTCCCATCTTCTTCTATAGAATAAGTGCCATATGGAGGACTAGTTGTAGTTTTTGGAGTGGTTGTCGTTTGTGCTGTTGTCGTCTTATTTGTTGATGGTGTTGGTGTTGTTGTCTTATTTGTTGATGGTGTTGGTGTTGTTGTCTTATTTGTTGATGCTGTTGTTGTCTTATTTGTTGATGCTGTTGTTGTCTTATTTGTTGATGCTGTTGTTGTTACATTTGTTGACGCTGTTGTTGTCTTATTTGTTGATGCTGTTGTCGTCTTATTTGTCAATGCTGTTGTTGTCTTAATTGTTGGTGCTGCTGTGGTTGAATTTTTTGACCCTGTTGTTGCAGTTAGTCCCTGAGCTAGTGGCTCCCCTAAAACAAAAAAAAAAGTTCATCAGGACTAGGATGGGAAGTGCAAAATTTCAGAAAATACTTGATATGCAAACACTATAAATACAAGAGACAGTCACTTTTGAAACCACCAATATTATAAAATGTACAAGATCATTCTTAAACAGAAAAGCTGGAAAACAGAAATCACAAATATTTAGGTATTTCTCTATATTTGATAGTATACTTCACATTAAGAGCCCGGATAATGCCATTCAGCAGATAACTAACTATTCAGCAGAGAAGTGTTAAAATGTAATGCACAATCCACTGCACAGAGATTCCTCCAATGAATAGCGCTACCCACCCTTCATAAAACTGTGGCCAGGAGTCCAGGGGTCCATTTCTCGAAAGTCCCAGTAACTTAACGGGCCCAAAGCCACGAATTAAAATCAAAATTTAAAGGATAGGAAAGCAGGTCCTTTTGCTTCTTTAGTTGATAGTTTTACCATATCATTTTCAAAACTTTTGAAATCCCCATCTTAAATGAAAATAGAACAGCTTTACGGGCCTGTTAAGTTACCGGAACTTTTGAGAAACCGGCCCCAGGACCCAATTGTACAGAGGGCAGATAATGCTATCCAACAGATACATTGCTATTCAGTGGATAAGTGATACAAAATGGACTGCAATATCCCCCGAATAAGGATTTAGGGCCTATCCACACTAGCACAAAAAACTAAATTTGTCCTGACAAAATCAAAGGACAAATGTTTGTCTCCTCTATTGCATCCACACTAAAAGTTTCGAAGCTGTCAAATTGAGTTAACAGCCAAAAATAACACCAATACTATATTCCATTGTACTTTATTCAATTTTAAGTTTTTCCTTTCCCTTTACTTCGAGTGGGCACTTTTTGATCTTGTGCCACTTCTATTACTTCATTTTTAGACTGGTAAAGCAACAACTGGGTAATCACTCTACCAGTGTAACTTGCCCCGACTCCCAGGGGTTTCATTAAGGGCCAGGCACCAGGCAAACTGACCAGTTGTGAGGATGGTTTTTCCCACCTGATTTGACGGTCTGGAGGAAAGTTTATCTTATAAAGAAGTTCAGTTCAAAGAGTTTTGCCCGCCTCTGAAAACCAGTTGCCCTCTTGCAGAAAACATTAATGAAACCCCTGGACTCCATGCAAATTTTTCCTCTGGTTGTCAGAGGGTAGGACATTCCAGCACCTAACCTGCTAGTAAGAGTGGCAGATTTAACCCATTGACACCTACGTGTAACAGATGCTTATGAAAAGTCAAAATTTTAGAGAAACAAGAAAGCAAACAATGCACAGTAAATTTTTAAAAATCATCTTTTCCAAATAACAAGCTCCAGTGAAAGACTGATTAAACTCCAGTTACCAGGATTCATCTTAATTTGTAAAATCCACAAGTTTCACAACCAAAGACAATTACTACAATCTTTTGGTAAACTGAACTCATTTCAATTACCGCACTGGTGTTAGCGTTTATGACAAATGATCAACAAGTTTATCATGGATTTGTTTATTTTGTTGACTTTGCCCAGGTTTTACCTGGAACAAATTTTGTTGGCCATGTGTTTGAAAATTTGTCCCCTTCAACCAAAATTTGTCAAGTTGCAACAAACCATGGGCACTTTTTATGTGTTGGTGATGACAGAAAATTTGTCTAAATAGCCATTAGGGACTTTAAGCAAACCACGACGGCTCAGCAACGAGAACGAGGAAAAACAAAAGATCTAATTGGCAGAATAGCCCAGCACGTGCGTTTTAAAACTTTGTACATTTCTTAGCCGTCCTGTGCAAAACAACAACGTGAAATCACCAAAATTTGCGTCGTCTGCGAAGCGAAACCGCGGCGGCAAATTATTTTAATTTACATTTGGAACTCAATGCTACTTTTATGCGTTATGTTGAGTTTGAGGTCTGGCGCCCCATGAGACGGTAAACACATGCAGCCATTTTCGAAATTCTAACTAAAAGTAGAAAGTCATTTTTTAATCGACGTCTTCCGTGGCGTTGCCGTCCTGACTGCTTAAAGTCCTTACTTTTTCGCTGGTGCGGAAATGCCGTCATCCTGTACATAGCGTTATCCAATATTCGAACAACCCTAAACGTAATATAAATAACTGCAATTTCCTTGCTTACAAAATTTTGCCTTCCATGGCTACAATGCAAGTCATGTATCTGCTTTAGTAAAACCAAAAATTGTTTCGATACGAGAAACTGTCCCTGACACTCGAGGCAGATTGTCACAAGGCAATCTAGTGACAACTGAAAGCGGAAACTTCTTTGAGAATGCTGGGTTGATGATGCAACACACAGAAAGTGGGAGAAAAGAAATGTCGCGAAAAAATCTAATCTACCTTAAATGGCATGTATCCTCATAGTATAAAATCCAACACCAATCTAATTCAAGCCAAGTTGAAGACTGTTAGCTCTTGCACTATTAGGACCAGATCACGTAATCGATAGTAGAAGTCTATCGCTGAAACATGGTCAGCAAAATCCTCGAATTTAAGGATTTCATCGCAAGGAACGAAAAAAGACAAGTTAGATTTCTCTCACTTATGAAACCTATGTTTCCACATTAAACTTTCAAGGCGCTTTCATTTGTATGCGTATCTGACGAAAGTAATAATCAAGGCCATTAATGTGCGGCCTCACAATCGACCGACTATTGTCGAAGAATGCCAAATGTATTCTTCCAAGTTAGACAAGTTTTACTCACCAAAGGCAACAATCAAACAGAGGAAGACTACCAAAAGCCTCAACATCTTAAACTTGTTTCTTTTTTTGCAGATCTTAGGAGGTTGAACCACGCCGCTACTTGCTAGAGAACACTCGTTCCAAAGAGACCGCACGATGAACCAAAGTGAAAGTCACATGACGAGCAGGAGACCTCTTCCCATGATGCAATGCAATCGCCAGGTGGGGTATGAAGAGGTCTGAAGAGATCACGATTATTTTGTGCACTCTCAACTCTCATTGACTAGAATATTCTAGATCTTACCGTACCTCATCACCCACGTGCGGGGCAAACTTCTTCGTTACGTTCGTCGCGTGATTCCCAATGATTCGTCCCGGGGATAACGACAAATGACAAGGTTACTCATGCCTAAGTGTCGAATGGAGCTTTTACTCGCCTTTTTTCCCCAAAGCTTGACGGTGTCCGAATAAAATTTTAGGAACGCCTCGAAAAATGGGGCGAAAAAATAATACAGTTGAAAGTAAAATTTCAAAGCCGATAGAAGTCACAGCAACTTCCAAGTGAAGGGTTACTCAGTTTAATTTTCTTTTTCAATGTTGTGTTCAAGAACTCTTAATTGGCTTCTGAATTAGTTAATCTACTTCTGATAGGTAGTTAACAATTATTCCACGAGCGCGCGTTGGAAGTGACGCAACGTAGGAAGCACAGAAAGTCATTGATGTTCTTTACTACACTTCAGTGGCGATACCGATAACATGGTTTGAAGAGAAGATTAGTAAGAAATATATACAAGGAATAAAAAGGCCATAAGGATGGTCAGCAAAAGAGACTAAGTCTCCATACTAGGCGGACCGCCTAATAAAAAGAAGAAAAGAAATAAAAAAAAAATCTAAACAACTAAATTGGATAAAATATTTCATGTAGTTAATTAATCCCTTACTCCCTTTTTAAAGCTAGAGATACTAGAAGCATTATGAGTTGACAGTGGCTGCACGTTCCATGTCAACTACCCTATTAAAATAGCAATATTTAAAAATATCAGTCCTAGCCCAATGTTTTTTCAAAGTCCGATCATCCCTTCCCCTGAAGGGGTCTCTTTCTAAATGTGAATAAAATTCGATAGAAGAGAATGTCTATAATAATATACCCAGTAAGGTCTTTATAAAAGAACAATACATCAAACAAGAAATGCCTGTCCTCTAACGATGACAAGTTTAATTTTTCTTTGCAAATTTGATAGTCCTCATCAGTTTTTAGGATAAACTTGGAAGCTCTTCGCTGAATCCTTTCCAATTTGTTAATGTTTCTAGTTGTAAAAGGTGACCAGACAATAGTGCAATACTCTAGTTGGGACCTTACCGAGGCACAGTACAAAGTTCTTAGAGTGTTAACATCTTTCAGACCTCTACATGTTCTTTTAATAAGGCAAAGAATTTCTACACAACTTATCAATGTGGGCATTCCAGGACAGCTTGTTACTAGTAACCAGACTTGCAGAATTCGGACGTTTCTTCCAGAGAGCTCCCATTTAACTTAACGTCAAAATGAAAAGGCATACTTTTCTTCATGATACACATGCAGCAATTTGCATTTCTTTACATTAAAGTCTATCAGATTTTGCTGACTCCAAATACATAGGTTATCAAGGTCAAATTGAAAACTCAGCACAGGTTACCACTCTAGATGTTCTACAATCCTCTGCATACAATGCAATAGTGTTCCCCAGCATAACCACTTCAGGCAAATTGCTGATGAATAATTATCACAAAAAATAATGGCCCTAGTAATTAAGGAACCCTGTGGTGCACCAGATGGAATGACAGACCAGGTAGAACCCTGTCCATCTATGACAACTCTTTGCTCTCTGTTGCTCAAGTGATTCTCACACCATTTAAGTTAGGTACCAGAGATGCCAAAATTACACAGCTTCTGCAGGAGTAGATCACGTGATACTCTGTCAAATGCCTTCAAAATTCTAAAAACACAACATCCACCTGCAATCCATCATTCGACCCTTTTGTCCACTGATGGTGTGTTAAAACGAACTGGGTGGCGCATGAGCGACCCCTTATGAAACCATGTTGCCCAACTGTCAGGTAAGGGCCACATATGGGAATATATGGCATTATATATGATCTATGGCATTACGTACAATCCTCTCTTGACATTTACTTGGCATGGATAGCAGTGATATAGGTCGATAGTTCTCAACTACATCTTTCGGCCTCTGCTTTAAACACTGAGGTGACTTTGGCTCTTTTCCACATGGAAAGAAGAATAAAAGAGAGGTGCAATATCTTTACTGGGTGTTGACATTCTCTATTATAAAAGGATTGCAGCAAGATTTATTGGCAAACAATTACGACTGCTTGATAATGAAAACGTGATAGCTTTTGCAGCCTAAGTCAGTAGTGCTATGTAATAATTTACTGCACTGTGGTATATCTCACTCAGTGAATCTTATTGTTTTTGTAAATGTTCTCTTCTAAAGATCATCCAACAAATTAGCAACAATTTTCAATTGATCGTTGCTTACAAACTTAAATGAGTTAACTTTGCAGACTGAAATTTTAGAATCTCCTTTTCTAGGTGAGTTCAAAGCATCAAAATATTATACCACACAGTCACATTAGGGAACTTTTATCTATCCAAAAATATGTACTTTTTAAAAAGGGTCAAGAACAATAAAGAATCAATGAACATGGTCTCAAAGTTTTTATGAAAGAAGGTGGCCCTTAAAATTTCCATAATAAGCTGAGGCACTGTTAGTAAAACTGTGTTTATCTGAATTTTCAAACAAACTAGGAAGTCATGCCATGCTAAAAATTCATTTTCATCAACTATTTGCACCCACTGCAAGCATGCACATGAAATAGGCAAGAGGAACTGTTGTCATTTGCTCATTCTTCATTATAAGTAAAGGATGCTCTGCATTATTTTCCTTTACAACACACTCACTGTTTACTGTAACTACTGACAGCTGATGTAAAAAGAGTTCAAAAAATTTTCATGAGTCCCTACCCTTTAAATTGTTCTTTCCCTGATTGCTCCAACAATTGCACTGCACAGTGCTATGCAAAAAAAGCCTTCTGACAAATCCAAATCATCCCTTAAATCTGACTAAAATCACTCATTATTGAATCGAATGTTGTGTACTTGACTCAGCAGTTCCCTGTGAATGACATCACATCAAGATAACATCATTTGGTAAATACTAAAACAGTAGAGAACATTGAAGGGGTGCTTGGATTGGCTACTCAAACTCTGAAAATCTTTTGCTATCCACCTTGGAGCGACTTGCCTGGGATATACACCCAAAGGTATTGCATCCTTCCAGGAACAAATGAGTTAAAGCAGTTTCTGTGCTAATCATCTCACTGTTTTAGTATCTACTAAACTATATAAAACTATATACTAGTATAGATCATAATTTTTAGTATATAGTTAACAACTATTCATTTGGCAGCTTTGAAAATATCCACCCCTAGCAACCTCCACTTTGGTGAAAAGTTGTTAAATAGCTGTCATCAGAGCAACTATTTTTTTTGAAGATTTTTCCTTACTCAACAGAGCAAGACTGCTTAAAACAAAACAGAGATTGACAGTGATATCAAATATTTATAAAAATGTAATAACCAGTCTTTACGCTGAAAGTTGTGTAGATTTAAATAACTCAAAGTCCCATAAAAAAAATTAAAACGTGGTGTGTTGTTGTTCAGGATACAATTCAATTCAAATATCACACTAGCTAAATGATCAAGAACAGCCCATCATTCTCATAAAATTCTCAGTCATAATGAGAATAGATAACTCCACAAAATTATAATCACATTTTTTCATAGCGTGTCCTCTTACAGCGGCCTACAAAGTATGTAATGATTAGAATGACAATCAACCCAGCTAACACACAGCCTACAATAGTTGGTACAATACTGTCCACTGGCTCAGCTAGATTATTCCCTGGCGTTGGAGAACAAACATCAGCTAAAAACAAAAAAGGAATACATAGTCAATATATCAGACATAACATCATTTCTTCAGACAATGGTTAAATTCTTTCAATCTAGGGCTTACACAAATTATGTTTCTATCAAGGGTGATTTAAACAAGCTTCCTACTCAGCTAAAGAGAGCAGAGATTTGGAAAGATAAATTCTCCTTACTAGGAAAATACTTTTTTGGCTGGTCAAGAGCAATGGGTATCTTATCTAGTTGCAAAATTGTTAATTTATAATCAGGGTGGTCAGAATGGGTTAGTTACCAGGGCATTTTACCTTCTACTCTGAAAAAATGCACCATCTATTCTAAACTTTGCCTACAGAGGGGACTTCCAGCTCTAGTGCCTATACTTAAAATCATTATCCTGTTACTCAAACTCTTTTTGACAATCCTGAATAATTGACAGGTTTTCCACATGGAAGATTAGAACTTGATTATTTCTGAGAGTAAAAGGTAAAGCTGGCTTCTTTAAAATACGTGTACAACTTAGCCCTTCCACCTCCAATATCTAGATGTCAATTTGTTACACTGTCTTCCATACATATTGAACAACTTTAGAACCAAGAAATCAATAGTAACTTAAAACATGCTCAATATTTTTCTTTATTCTCATCCCCTCCTGCTTGAAACTGTACTGATGTTAGACAGAAAAAGTATATTTGGTCACTCTTAAGAGTAAAAGGGTAAAGATTGGGCAATTTTGGTTCAGATTAACATCCCGAGCCAGAGATTACTGTAAGTTGCAGTAACTGGGTACTAAACAAAAGTTTACACACTTCATTTTAATGCCACATTTCCTACCTTCACCAAAGTCACCTCCAAATGGCTGCACTTCTATCTTTTTTATGCTAACTGCGACTTCATTTTTTCCTTCTAATGGTATGTCCAGGCTCTCACTGCATTTAAAGCTTTTCTCCTTTGCTGCTGTCATCATCAGCTTCACAGGATTAGTTTGGGCTGCACTCACTTTCAAGTCTTCATATATATAAAAACATGATTTAATTCATTTTTTAGTTCATAACTTTCACTAAAAAAAAGTTATATTTACCTCCACAGGTAGGTTGTGCTCTAGAATGTTTCCAGAGGCAGTTTCCAAGCTTTTATTAAATTTTTGCTTACACCCCCCCTCCCCCGCAACTGTTATTTTCTATAATCAGAAACACAGCATACAGAGAATCCTTAATACAGTTATAATCACGGCTTTCATCAATAGTTCAGCCATTGATGACATGAAGCAACTTTAATGCTTATAATACTGATCATTACACTCTAGATGCACAATCATTGTAAGTTATCATTTGGTTCCCATCAATTATTTCAAATTAAAAAAAAAAATAGAGGGAAACTATAAGCAGTAAAACAACTGACCACTCCCGTTGATTTCTTTAATATAAGTGAAAGCCAGGCTGCTTGTTTTCCATTTGTCGTCCTCAGTCAAAAATGTCAGGGAGATGGTCAGGTTGGCTGATCCTGATTTCCAAGCAAGAGACACAGATGATGACTTCCCTCCACAGGTTCCATTTGGAATGGCATTCAGTGGAAGGTCAAAAGTCTCCTAAAGTGTTAATAATAATATCAACCTTTAAATCCCTCAATGTCAATCACATAGTAACTAGTCAGTAGATAGTTGATGTTTCAGAGTTATCTACCCTTAACCCCATTATCTCACAATTGTATTTGCTTTTCTTCAATTCTCCTTCTTTAATACTAAATGATTGGCATCACATGGTCATCACATCATTTTGAATGCTCAGCATGAGATCATCATTACCGAAAAACACTTACATTGCTTTGGAGTTGTATGGTCACCATACATGAGATATCTAAAAGGAGGCAAGGCTTCCCATCTGCCCTTGATAGATTAAAATGACCATATCCTGATGCTGGGCCCTGTGTCTTGGGTGGCACTATAGAGTAAAACACTGTAGAGGATGTAATAGTTGATGCAGATGTCTTTGAAGCTGATATTGTTGAGGAGACCATGGTGGATGTGGAGTTTGCTGTTACCATAGAAGTCAGATAAAAAATTACCAGACCTGAAAAGACAATTGTTGTGTTGATGTAATATCCACTGTTATATGAATGATTAATGGATTGTATGTAGTCACGTGAACATCAATTTGACTCTATATCATTTTAAGTTATCCTGTATATAATCAGTTGAATAAAGAAGTTCATTGAAGCAACTTGCTCTGAGTATTTTCCATATAGTGGAGTAAAGTCTTTAGTCCTTAAGAACACGACAACTGGCGATGAGGATGGCTACCATCAGATCAATAGAATCCTACGACCCAGCTGAGGACTAGAGCTTGTATTCTGAGCGATTTGAGCTGTACATTATAGCCAATGAACTCAAAGACGAAAAGAAGATCGTAGCAGTTTTCTTGATGAGCGTAGGAAGCAAAGCCTACAACCTATTGAGGGACTTAAAAGCCCCAGCCAAGGCTTCAGAATTCAAGCTTAAAGAACTGTTGGAAATGTTGAGTAACCATTTCCAACTGAAACCAATCATTTCTGCGGAGCGTTTTCACTTCCACAAGTGTGATCAAGAAGAAGGGGAAGGAGCAGTGGACTCTGCCGCATCCCTTAAACGGTGTTCAGAACATTGCGAATTCGGAGGATTCTTTGAGCAAGCATTAAGGGACAGATTTGTCTGTGGATTGCAAAACAGGCAAGACTGCTAACTGCTAACTGCGAGACTGCTAACCATGACCAAGCTAACTTGGAAAATGGCTCTTGATACAGTTATAGCCATGGAATCACCAGAAAAGCAGGCAAACCATTTCCGACCAATGGCACCGCCCTCAAACATCACTGTGCTGCCAGCATTTATGCAGAACAAGCAAGGCAGAAAGCCAAGACAGCAGAAATTGTGTTTCCATTGCGGTTGAAACCACACACCACAAACGTGTAAATTTAAGGATCAAACGTGTCACTTATGTCAAAGCGAGGGACATATCCAAAAGATTTGCAGAAAAAAGGGAGCCGCAAAACCAGAGAGAGGAAATGTATCTAAGAGCTCCAACCCAATAAGTTACTTGGAAGACAAGCAAGTTGTAGCGGGAGACTTCAGCATTTTCAAAGGGGAGGACGAAACAGCTGAACCAGCAATCCTAATTCACATCACAATGAATGGCTCAAAGATCCCAATGGAACTGGACACGGGAGCGACCCTGTCTGTGATGTCAGAAGAAACGTGGAAAGAGGCATGTCCAACCGCAACACTCCAACAATTGACCGCGAGACTGTCAACCTACTCAGGGGAACCACTGACTGTTCTTGGCAAAGCAATGGTTGACATTGAGTACAAAGGCCAAACCGAGAAGTTGCCCTGACAAGTCATCAAGGGAAGTGGTCCAAGTCTGTTTGGACATAATTGGCTTTCCAAGATTAGACTCTAAATGGCCTACAATCAAGAAGATAAGTAATGAACTTGATAGTATATTAAATAACCATCCAGAAGTATTTAAGGATGAACTAGGAACACTGAAAGATGTAAAGGCTCAAGACAATTGTTTGTTAAAACTGAAGCTGCACCCAGATTTCATAAGCCTGGAACAGTGCCGCATGCAATTAGGGGGGCAATTGAGCAAGAGCTTGATTGACTAGAGAACATGGGAGCGTTAGAGAAAGTTCGTTTCTCTAACTCAGGGCAGCGCCCATAGTGCCCATAGTGAAACCAGATGGGGGCGTAAGGATTTGTGGGGACTACAAAGTGACAGTTAACTCCGTGTTGGAGGCAGACCAACACCACCTTCCAAATCCAGAGGAGTTATTTGTTGCTTTGAGTGGTGGAGAAAAATTTATGAAGCTAGATTTATGATGCGCCTATCAGCAAATATTGCTGGAAGGAAACTCAAGAGAGTTTGTTACCATTAACACCCACAAGGGATTATATAGACCACTAGATTACCTTTTGGCATTTCCAGCGCGAGTGCTATTTTCCATTCTGAGATTGAGCAGGTATTGCAAGCAATACCAATGGTCGTTTGCTGGGTAGATGATATTTTAATATCAGGCAAAAACGATCAAGAGCAAATTAGAAATCTCAACGAGGTGTTGACAAGGCTAGAAAACACAGGCTTAAGGTTGAAGCTAAGCAAATGTAAGTGCATGCAACCATCAGTTGAGTATCTAGGATACCGAGTCGATGCGAGCGGGTTGCACGCGATTGAGAAGGTTCAGGCAATCTGTGACATGCCAGCTCCTGAAAATCAGCAGCAACTTCGATCTTTTCTTGGAATGATCAACTACTATTCTAAATTCATATTAAGCAATTATTCAATGATAGCGCATCCTCTGAATGAGCTATTGGGTGACGGGATTAAATGAAAGTGGTCGAAATTGGAAGAGGACGCATTCAGAGAAATTAGCGAAAGGCCAAGTTTTGGTGCATTATCAGAATGATTTGCCTCTTAAGTTAGATACCGACACATTGCAATATGGTGTAGGAGCGGTAATTTCACATGTGTTTCCGAACCTCGAGGAAAAACCAATCACATTCGCTTCACACACATTAAACAAGAGTGAGAGAAATTATGCGCAGATCATGAAAGAAGCCCTCAGTATAATCTTTGAAATAAAGCAATTTCATCAGTATCTATACGGACACAAATTTTTGTTGGTAATCAATCACAAGCCTTCAGTGATGTTGCTAGGTCAGAAAAGTGGTATTCCAACTCTAGCTGCCACAAGACTGCAGAGATGGGCAATCTTGTTGTCACCATACCAATACGAGATTGAGTATCGTTCAATGCTGAAACATGCCAACGCAAACTGTTTAAGCTGATTGCCGTTGCCCGTTGGAAACAACCCAGAGGAATTCAATGAAGTTACATTGATAAATTCCTTATAAATTGGATCTTTGCCATTAACCGCAGGTCAGATTCGAAAGGCTACACGTGTGGATCCAGTGTTCTCTAAAGTCGTTGACTACACAATGACAGGATGGGCCAATGTAATGTAATGTAATGTAAAATTTTATTTATACATGGAGAATCATTAGTTAAGCTAAAGGTAAAAACTAAAACTATTACAACTGTTTTACATGATTGCCGTGTGGAAATCCAATATCTCAGATACCTTCTTAATACCCCGTTTAAACTTCCCAATAGAACCAACACCTTTCAAATCTTGGGGCAAGTTATTCCACAAACAAGCCCCGCTATAACAAAAGCTTCGTTAGTATTTGGCTTGGGCTGCGAAAGTTTTCCTTCAAGATTTCTTAAGTTATAATCATTAACATGGCGTTGAGTGAAAAGACATTGAAGATATTCTGGGGCAAGTTCATTCAATGTTTTATACAAAAGTCATGTATAATTAAAGCTTTCTGTTTTTTACAGCGAAGAGACAGCTTCTCCCACTGCCAGTGACGACAATCCAGCTATTCAAACGTCTCATCAGAGACAGAATGAACTCACTGTAGAAGAAGGCTGTTTGTTGTGGGAAATTCATGTTTTAATTCCGAGTTCTTTGCAAGAACGAGTTTTGCAGGAATTGCATGAAGGGCATCCTGGAATTGTGCAAATGAAGTCGCTCCCATGACTCCATGTTTGGTGGCCCAAATTAGATCAATCAATTGCTTCCATTGTTTGTGATTGCACTAAGTGTCAGTTAACACAAAACAAGCCACAAATCGCTTCCTGCATCTGTTGGATTGGCTGGACACACCATGGCAGAGAATTCACATCCACTTTGCTGGTCCATTCATGAATAAGATGTTTCTTGTAGTAGTTGATAGGTACTCCAAATGGCTAGAACTGGAAATAATGCCCAACGCAACCAGTGAGTCAATGATCAAGAAACTGAGAAATATGTTTGCTTGATATGGCGTACTGATGCAATTAGAGAGCAACAACAGTCCACAGTTAACTTCGAGAGAATTTGCAGATTTTATGACACAAAATGGAATAAAACACACACTAGTCGCACCGTATCATCCGAAATCAAACAGACAGGCGGAATGTTTTGTTCCAACATTCAAGCAATATTTCAAAACTGAAGTGCGTCAGTAATGCAGAGCTTGGCGAGATTTCTGTTCAGTAATCGAACAACGCCGAGTAGTGTGAAAGGTCTGAAACACCAGCTGAATTGTTTCTTAAATGCCGACCGAGAAGTAGATTGGACTTACTTCGTCCAAACCTAGGTCACAAGATCTCCGATAGACAAATGTACGACAAGGTGGAACATGATTGCAAATCGAAAGGACATGAATGTTCGATTGGAGAAGATGTCTTAGCCCAAAACTTTAGAGGTGAGCCAAAATGGTTAAAAGCCACCGTAGTTGAATGCACGGGTCCGGTGTCATATAAAACACAAATGGGAGAGCAAGTGTGGAAACAGCATGTAGACCAAATGCCTGACAAAAGTTACAACCAAACGCCGGAAACAAGTGTTAACGAGCTAAAACCGCTTGTTCTGAACAAGAGCTATGAAATGCCAAAGCCAGAACACTCACTGGAACACTCCAAAGTTAGAGAGAGAGAGAACCAGGTTAGAGCCCATACAACAGCACATCAAACAGCGAGAGCGCAAATGCACCGCTGAATGCAGACCAATCAAACCAACCACCTCAACCAGCTCGTTACCCCAGTCATAACCATAAGCCTCCAAGTCGTTTAGGTTATGACAAATAATATTTGAATTCTTAGGTTGTCGGTTAAATAAGGGTGGGGGAATGTTGTGTTGATGTAATATCAGCTGTTACATGAATGATTAATGGATTGTATGCAGTCACGTGATCATTGATTTGACTCTATATCACTGTAAGTTATCCTGTATATAATCAGTTGAATAAAGAAGTTCATTGAAGCAACTTGCTCCGTGTATTTTCCATATAATGGAATCAAGTCTTTAGTCGTTAATAAGAACACAACAGCAATGTTAAAAGGTGAGGATATTTTCCTCTTGAAAAGTTATGTGAAGGAAAGATATGCAATTTTCTATGATCATTGTTAAATATTTGAAGGGAGTGTTGTCTAGCTTTGTGGGTGTGACACATGCTTTCACTTTAATTAAAGTGCCCTTGAGACGAAAATTGACCATTTTATTTTGGCCTAAATTGTTTACAAAATGTTGAATTGGGTCCAGTTAAGACCCTTTTTGCCATTAAAAACTCAAAACAAATCTTTGATGACCAATTTTTAACGCTACAAAGTCGTCCAAAAATCATCCACCATTGTTGAAAGCATGTTCCAGCTGAGCCCGCAATTGTACAGCAGAAAATGTCACCATGACGTCAAAGGCTCAACAAACTTATGCTTTGCTTTGTCACAACTTTCTTTGTTCACTGCACAGAGAATCACACATATTACTTTTTTGAGAATTGTTTCGTTGTCAGTCAGGAAATGTCGACTTAATTGTCAGAAGATGAATTGTCCCAGAAATCATCTGAAGCTTCTGTGGATAGTTTTGCACCGACAAACAATGAAGTTTTGCCATGTGAATAAAGATAAACACAGAAGAGCACGGACTCCCCATGTGGCTTTTGTGGTCACATCGGTTTATTGCCTTCAAACTGTATTTTTGCATGTCGTTAGGGATTTTCCCTTTTTGTAAGAAATGATTGGGTGATTAGTAAAAATAGTTTTCTGCAATGGCTAATTGCGTATTTGAAGGCAGATATTGGGAGTTTGTGAAAGCCATTTCCAAGCCATCAATGTGTTTGTCCTGATGCATTTGGTCAATGATCTCATTAACCCTTTCCTATGTGTTTTTTATGATTGGTACTTTGAGAGGTTTGAGGTGAACTCTGTTGTTGAGTTGCACTTTGGCCTCTTTTGTTTTTTCTGTCTTATTCATGATGACTATTGTTGTGTTGCTTCAGAGAGGTTTAAAGCAGAGTTTGTTTCAACTCTTTTAGAGCCATAACCTCATTGCATTACATAGTATTTTTTGCCTTTGATGCAGTCTGCAAGTAGCATTATGACCATTTTCCAAGTAGCTCTGAAGAGCAATAGAAGACCGAACCGGTGGCATTCAGTTTGATATGAAACAGAAGTGGTTCTTGGTTTTGTCCGTGAAAGGTGTAACGGAAGCCCATTTGTCTTGCAAATAAATCTCGCAAAAGTTGGCCTCATTTTACATTGGTTTGTCACGGGTTTTGGGATGAATTTGAGACCCTTTGATAGTGCGCTGACTTAGCTGTCAGATGGTTGATAGTTTGTCAGGTTTTTAAAGAAATTTTCATTTTCTTGGTTTTTTGGCTGCAAGCCTATACATTTTAAAGTGTTTCTATGCTTTGTGTCCTAGGCTGTTTGTTCTGCTTTCGCTGATATTACAGCTAGCTTTTTTTAGAATCAGAGCACACAATTATATTTTTCATCTCTTTTGTATAAATTAAAGTGAGCTCTTTGAGGTCAGAAATCTCAATCCTCAATTCAGCTATTTTATCATTCTTATTTACAATGTTCACCTAGTACTTTCCTTTGTGTAAGGTATTCTGCCAGAGAGTTGTTGAAGGTGGATATTGATCAGCTCATATGTAAAGGTGACAAAACCCGTGGAGGATCATAGACTTCATTTTCATCGAGATTGCATTGAGGACGGTTTTTCTCGTCCCTTCTCTTCTTGAATGGTAGGCACTGAACAAGACAAAATTCTTCGTCTAGATCCTTCAAAGTACACAGATCTCTCGAAACAGTCCTCTGAGAGGTGTTCAGAGTAGATCACAAATATTTCTGTAAGACTGAAGTTTACTCAGCGAGGTCGCACAAATTGCACCCGTTTTTCCCGCTCTGATCTTTTTGCAAGACTTGGATGCATAGAAATACCTGCAGCATGGTCTGCACGATTACTTCAGCTTTGAATTACGCATCAATGCCTCGTAACTTTTGTTTAGTTTTTGTAAGAATAGAGTAAAGCACTCTGTTATGTTTGCTTGACATTTTTCCATGTGAGATTTTTGCATTGAACCTTTGACATCACTTCCTCTGAGTCCTGCGATCAACTTCCGGAACACGATCAAATAATGGCGGACGCAAAATCGTGAATTTAACAGCCCGAAAAAAGATATTTCTAGTGCTCAGTCTAAACTGAAATTTGGCAGAGTAGGTGAAGGAGATACACTGAACACAAAAATGGAACAAAATGATGTACAAAAATTTTGATCTCAAGGGCACTTATTGCATGCCTGTCTAGGTTATTACTGTCAGTGGAATGATCAGAGGGTCAAATTGGTCACATCAACTTACATTATAAATAGCTCGCAGAGCCCAAAGGCAACATGAACTGAGTCCTGTGTTCTGATTGGCTACCCAGGCGAGAAAGATGGGCCTATCTTACCCACTCTGGGTTACATGCTTTGACTCCATGCAAGAGAAAAAGTGTGTGGAGTGGACTTACAAAGTTTAGTGATGAAGTTGCAAAAAGTGGCACAAGATTGTCCGAACATAAACAACCCTTGTGGGTTTATTGTGCTACAATAATTCTTGATTCTTGTTAAAGCAAAATATTTTGGTATAAAATAATAAATCCTTTATTGACCAACCTTGTTTGGTCAAGATAGCTGGATATTAGCCTGGTTCTTTTTATGCGTTTTTATGGACCTCAACTTCAATGGTGCAGCCGCAGTCCCGCAGTCCCGCAGTCCCGCACTCCTACTCTCCTTTTCTATTTAAGAACGAAGATTATATATTTGAATTTGTCAGCTCACTCGCCAATGAAATGGGCAGTGATGTCCAATTTAAAGTAAGCTTGGAGAACGAGATACGACTTTTAAATATTGCAATTTGAATTTCGGTTAACTGAAGAACGAAGAATCTATATTTGAATGTGTGGGTTCTATTTAATTTGGCGACTATGGGACTGCGGGAGCAGCTATTTAAAATACGTATGTTAAGTGGCCGGGTATTCTGAAGTTTAGCCCAAAATTCTTGAATCCGTATGAGCCCGCTAGCTTTACCAGCCCCAACAAGTTAAGTCGGGTATTGTGTCCCGACCAGGAATCTCGATCAACGTAGAATCGACTTAGAAATGCACAAGTCACATTTAAATTAAAAACATTGAGATCCAAAAATATTGAAATCCAACAAGTATATAGGTAAAGACACTAAGTTAAGATAGCACTCACCGACAAAAACAGAAGGATGCAACTGAAACAAACAAGCGGTTCTCTGCGCCATTGAAGTGAATTGTGTCGTAACGAGATCCAGACAGTTTTTTTCTGAAATATCGCGCGAGCAGAATGTTTGCCAATTTAAAGACCAGGTAATAAAAGGTACGCGTTTGATGGGGATACTTATTGTGTGCGAAAGAGATGTGTATCCAATTAAGGCTAAATAGCGCGCAGACTATACTCAATCACGAAAAACAATCCCGTTCAAACTAAACACGTGATATAGGGTCATTTACGCAGACGGGTGATTGACTGTTGCCCTGAGGGAATACCAAATAGAGCCTTGATTTTTTTGGAGGGAAGACTAATGAGAGCTCTGGTTTTTTGTTTATGATTTTTTGTTTTGTTTTGTTTTTATTTTTGGGGGTAAGAGAACCGTTCATACTACCCCTACATGCAGTGCACCTCTGTTGGGACCCTATTTTAGGACAAACACTTAGACCTCACCATTCACACACAATCTCCTCATGAGCTTCTTTTGAGATATTTTGTTCATTTTTTTTGAGATGTTTTGATAACACATTCCATGAAATGTCTTTTGTTTTGAAAAGGCACAAATTTAGGCATAATCAAGACCAACAGATGAAAAAGCTGCACTTTGTCTAGTACAATGTTCCCAAAGTGCAGCGTGATGGAGTAATCATAATCAAGATATTTAAACACAGAGGTGTGCTATATAAGGAAGTCTTCCCTGGGAAGACCTAGGTTCATTTTTCACTCACCGTTGACATATGCGGGTCAAATTTAAATGCTGGTAGATGAACAAAAGGAGCTAATGAGATATCTATTGTTTACTTCCACCAACATGGTGGCATGAGGTAACGTGCGAACCACCTACTTGGATCTCAAATTTACCACCACAAATAAAGACAGTTTCCATTGCAGAAAGGAAATACAAATCTAAAAAACTCTTGTATTGTGATGAAGACATAAAACAATTTTGAGGAATGCACCCGCTGTTGACTGCTTTGGAGTAGCTGTAGCTCAAGCTGACTTGACTCTAAGAGTTCTACATCACACGACGGTTGATTGACAGATAGTCCAGTGAGACCTAAGGCTCCTTTTATAGCGCGCCTTTGTGTTTAAAGAGGATGGCACCAAAAAGCCAACACATGGTTAATAAGGGTGGTCCTCAAGTAAAATCCTTCCTAGTGGCATGGACTGGACTACTCACTTGGCATATTCAGACAACTATTTTGCTGGTATTTGATGGCATTTCAGAATTCATTTTTAATCATTCCACTGATATAGTGGGGATCAAAAACATATCAAGGTCTCTTGTAGCTGTACTATTACTCTGAATCATACTGCTGAGATTTTTCCAAACTAAAGAATGTTGACAATTTTTTGTTCAACTGAATTTAAGTTTGTAATTCTTTAAGGTCATGTTTCCTGAGGTACACCTAGGAACAGTTTGCTGTTTGGGTGGGTTCAGATTGTCCTCTCACTATTGTCAGAGGGTCCTAGAAAACAACACCTTGTGATATTACTGTAATTGTATCCCAATGCCTTAAAATAAATTGGGCACAATGACCAAAGACAGGTTAAAAGAACTCGACTAACAGGCCAGAGTGAATTATGTTTACCAACAGTGTCTCTTCCCATTTGAAGGCAGAATATTGGGAAACTCCCACTTCCTCTAAGTCTACCCAGTAATTAGATAGATAAAGAATGAGAATCTGATGATATTAATTTGATGATATAGAGTCTATATATCTTATTAACCAAGCGCGAGGGCCGCACTGGGACAATATCGGCCTGCTCTTGACAGTACGGACCGAGCACAGTGAGGTCTGTACAAAAAAGACCGAGGGACACAAGTGTGGTATCATTCAGGACCATTCGGGACAGTGCCCGGTCCAATACTTAGAGAATATTGGACCAGCAATACAGCATTTTGATTGGTTGATTTTAGTTATTGGCCCTCTGACTGCCCGAGTCGTGTAATAAACCTAAATACTGGCTACAGCAAAATTATACAAAGGTTTAAACAGTTCAGAAGTAACATTTATTTTGATTCAATGTACAAGAGAAGAATCCATTTTAACGATTGAATTACAGCAGTTAATTATTTGCTGTTCTAACCTCAGCAAGGAAACACATTCAAGCCAAGAAGGCAACATAAGTGACAGATGTGCAATTCCAATTTAGTTTATAACAATAATCTATTTTTTCACTGAAGGTCATCATCGTCAAAGAGGTCATCAAATTCTATCGTGAAATAAGAAGGCAAAGATTTCTATCACCACAATATTAATGAATAAAATCTGAGGTATTTTCAATTCGATCAAATTATAACAAATATTCAGAAAAGATAAATTGAAAACCTACTATTAAAGAAATCGCCATGGACTGCTCTTTCATTAGCTGCTAATTCTATCAGCATCCCACCACTTGATGCAGCCTAAATAGCACATAGCAAAAGCAAAATCACAGAAAACATCAGTTGACGCAATGAAAGGTTTACTGCATGAAAGATATGATATGGGATTCCCACAAAGTAGACAAAGCATTTTAAGAATTGAATGCTGTACTGCACACAGTGAAGGCGTTCAAACGCTTACCTCGTCCATTTCCATCCATCCAGCATCTCCATCGGGAAACATTTCGTCCTGCGCCACAACTGCTGGTTTCATTTTGTGTATTATTTTTTTTTTTTTTGCACTGAGCAGTATTCGAGTAGCTATAATCAAGAAAGGCTATCACAATGGACTATTGCTATACACTACATGAGAGGATTACACTTTTCTACTTGACCGCTGAGAAACTTTCGCGCCTGCAAATCATTATGGTGGATGGGCCAGTGGAGGGAGGTGTTTAACATTCAATTCGTAATATATTGAACCATTATTTATCGTTGAAAATAAGGAATTAGACATGACTATTTACAATCTCTACATATTTGATCGAAACGGAACGTGCCTTTATTACGAATCCTGGAACAGAAAGAAGGAAAGCAACATGTCCAAGGAAGAGGTAGGGTTTACCATATCTAAAGAAATTATCAATAATTACCCATGATTTGTTGATTTTGTTAAAAAAAAATATCCTCATCTTCTTTTGTTTTTCATCGCGGCAAAGCTCTTGTTAAACTCAGTTGAGTTATACGAAAAAAGTTTTCCCATCTGCCTTTTAATCTGAAATGTGAGCACACTGAACATTTCTGTCTTATTTTGACACCCAGGAATTCAAGCTCATGTATGGTATGTTGTACTCTATCAAGTCATTTGTGGCACGAATGTCACCATCTGAGTCGTATCCTGTACACTTTAATATTTTGAATACTCAACACCAAATTTTATGTTTAAAGTCTTGAGTGGTG